TGCTAAGTGAGTGTTTTTCTTTTTCCCTGTGCTAAGTGAGTGTTTTTCTTTTTCCCTGTGCTAAGTGAGTGTTTTTCTTTTTCCCTGTGCTAAGTGAGTGTTTTTGTGTGGATGTACTTCTTTTTGCTCAAAGTAAACTCTTTCGACGAGAATTGTGGTTTGTTTCGCATTGCCTTCTTTCTGCACTGAATTGAGCATGCAGTAAGCTCTGTTGTCCCGTTTTATGTGTTCCAGGTAGCAGCCGTTTCTGGAGATGCACGCCGCGCCCTTGACATTTGTCGCAGGTCGACAGAAATAGCCGAGTTGAGGAGCGAGGAGGAAAACATCGACAGCCCGATGGTCACAATGGGAGACATCAACAAAGCTGTAGAAGAAATGTTCTGCTCGCCCAAGATTGTCGCAATTAAGTGAGATCCAAATTGTGATTTATTTACATGTAGTTTTTTTTGTTTGTTTTTGAGCACTGGTGTTGGGTGTTGCAGTTAGGCACTTTGCTGACACATGCATAGGATGTGAGATGGATTCCTGTGAGGGGACATTTTTATTGAGTATCTCCCATCTTTCCGTTAGAATGTTGTATCCCTCACAGCCCAGGTTGGCCCTGACAGGCAGGACTCAAAAAAAGCCCGCCTCTTAAACGATCATCATAATTATGTTTCTTTGTTTTTAAGAATGTTTTTGTTTGGGAAATACGTTTTGGCTTCAGCAAGTGGTTAGTGGGTCCCTGACATCATCTGCTCCTTTTTATTTTCTTTTGGTTATGTAGCTACTGCTCTGAAGACTAGTAGCAAACTGAAACGTCTTTGGGTTTTTTACTTGAACTGAACCTGTTTTTATTTCAAAATGATGTTTCCCCCCCCAGAAATCTGTCCGTCCAAGAGCAGATGTTCCTAAAGGCGATCGTAGCAGAGTACCAGAGGGCTGGCATAGAGGAGGCGGAGTTTAAAAAACTTTACGATCAGCATTTGACCCTTTGTCGATTTGAAGGTGAGTACAGTCGAAATTGTTGATGTGCAGGTGATTGTCTTATACAGGTGGCTGTTAGAGCAGGTTTAACTGTAGTTTAAAGTTTCAGTTCCTACATCATTTTGACTGATTGTTTTGGGTTTAAGGTGGAAATATATTGTGTGGTTGGTTGACGGATGTTCTGGTGTGGTCTGCTCCCTCTTTCCTGTAAAAAATCTTTGGTCCTTATCTACCCTACTTTTTTAATCTGTATGTTACCCCATAGTAACATCTCTATACTTTGGCTCTTCAATAGCCTATTTGTGTTGCAAGTACTGTTGCACTCTTACTTAAGCTTAACTCACAAGTTTGCCAAACTGTCCTGAATTTCCAGAGATTGTTCTGGTTTTGGTTATCAGGAATTTGAGAGCCTTGTCACATTTATTACACCAAAACCAATTCCACTTTATGTTAATTAGTTTTGTTATTACGTTATCCTGTTATCCCAGTTTTAAAAGTGATGTATGATGGAGTTTTACACTGAGCAGTTGATATGAAGTTTTAATGTATGTCGTTTTTGATTGGGTTTTGAAAAAGTTGGCAAAGCCTGATTTTGTATCACTGCATTTCTCTGTATTCAAAGTAAGCTAATCAGTTCTATGTTGCTCTCTGTCCGACCCCAGGAGTCCACGCCCCTACGATGACAGAGCTGGCCGCGATGTGCTACAGGTTGGGCAGCATCCGACTGCTCCTGATCGAGGCCGGCCGGCTTGACCTTTGCATGAGGGTCAGGCTCAATGTTAGCCAAGACGACGTCATGTACGCTCTACGAGAGGATGAGGGAAATCGATCGTTCTGAGGTTTGGACGATATGGCATGGAAAGAGAAGCGGGTTTTGACTCAGGTTTGGGCCTGGTTGTGGGGACTTTGGTTCCTGTGGACTTTGGGTTTGTCATTGGAATTTAATGCCTTTATGCATCATGTTAAGGGTCATCGGTATACTAATGGCATCTGTTGTGTAAAGGTTAGGTGCTTCGCTGTCCCATGCAGAAGACCTGAGTTTGATTCCTGGGTGGGGAGAATTCTTTTTGAGTACCTTGGTCTTTCTGCTGGGATGTTGTATCCCTCTCAGTTCAGATTTGGAATGACCGCTTGTCTCCTAAATGATAGAAATTGTGTTAATGGGGGCATGAAAAACACTAAAGTAAAAAAAAAAGAAAAGACAAATGGTTAGGCTCCTGCACGCTTAATCGTGAGATTACTGGTGTTTTGGGGTTCATGGCTCAGTTTGGTTCAATTTTTTTGTCCTTTGGAAAGGCTCTTTACACCAATTTTCTCATTGGGCTTTGTCCTATCAGAGATGGACATTAAATTCGGAGGTCTCGCCTGTTAAATAAGTTGCAAGGGGAATTTAAAAAAACTATACATTTTTGGATTGTGAGGTAACTTGCATACGTCAATAATTTGTACAGACATTGCCAAAGATGGTAAATTAAGTACAGACTACATCTGTGAGTACTCATGGAAAATTCTCCTTCTGCGTGCCATTAAAAGAATATGATCTTGAGCCTATTTCACAATATCTGTGCCTTAAAAAGAGTAACCTAGCTGTGGTCATTTCTCTTCATGAATTGAATTTTTTCCATGGGATGGCTTGAATCGGCTATGAAATCCCTCTTACTATTCCCATGTTATGTCATGTTCATTGGAATTGCTTTTTCCAGAATCTACTTTTTCAGCTCGGAAATATTTTTGTTTTTTTCTCCCCCCAGACAGTGGGAAATGATGTGAAACTTGGTCTTGTTATTCCATGCTTGGTTGTCTCTCTCAGAAACTTGTAAACACTCCGATATAATTGTTGACAACACAAAAAGGTTCCACCTTTGAGTCAGAATTCTGTTTAGCTTCCTCTGTCTGTGTGCTGAGGCCTGAAAGAGTTCTCACTCGTTCAGTGTGTGTTGTGGCAATCCTTCTGGTTCTTATCTCGAGAACTTTGAGCTGCTACGCGTGATTTTTGCTATTCCATGCAGTTGTTTATTTTTGTATTCAAGGGGACACAAGTGAGAAATTCCAAACTCTGAAGTCCTGTTGTTTATGATATTATTATTGTTGTTTTTGCTATTATTATTTATTATTATTATTTGTGTCATGACATGGAATCAGGCGCTTATATCAATTTTATGACGTATTGGATTATTGTAATCTTGTTCATTTGTCTTGATTTTGATGAAAGAAATGCACATCTATTTTTAATTGAAGTCAGAATATTTACAATTGAAGGAGATGGGGGTCGCTAGGTGTCAGAGATACAATTAGAGAGAACATGGCTGGCAAAGTGTAGTGACTCCCAAAGCTTGAATGTCCCTGAAAACTGAATTTTTTAATTTTTTGGTACCTTTAATCATTTTTCAGTAAAATCCGTACAGAACTGTTTGTATATGACCGTTTAAGGTGTTGAGCTCTAAAATAAAAGTTCTATAAAAATTGTCGCACTGGCAGAAAATGTCAGTTTCTCCAATTTCATTATTTTGATGAGCAGCTGATTTCACCATGATGCAACACATTATTTCTATTATCATTATTGTTATTAAATTTTCTTTTTTCACGAAAGACTTTTTGTCTCATGTTGATGGCTATGCTTATCAATGGACTCTTGGTGAATGTGAAAGTCTTGACTTGTGGTAAATTTGTATGTTTTGTTTTAGTAACTGCAAGTGAATATGAAGCGAGGGAAAATTTGTTAGTTAGGTACAGTATGAAAGTAGCAAGCTGGTTGTTAACGGCATGGTTTTCTTCATGACATCCTGTTTTTGTGTACTCAGCGGGACTGTTGTATCAGATACGGTTATTCTCCCAGGCTTTATCCTGGTGACCTCTATGTTGGTTTATTTGTCTAATTTATTTAATTAATTTTTTGTCATTGCTCGTTCCACATGTCAAGGTTGTTGTTTGTCCAGGGGTGTTTGGAGGATGCTGTTGGTAGGTCAAACTTCTGTCTTTTGCTTATGAGCACTAAATGATCATTATTGTTTCAATGTTTTTCTTTTCTAAAAAGACAGAATGTTTGAAATGTTGAATTGTAATCTGGTATATGTTACGTTCAAATCCACTTTGTTCTCATTTTGGCAGTTTTTTAGCGAGTATGTCTGATTTTTCTTTGTCCGTAAGGTGTTAAGTGAGGCAGTGGGATATGGAGGGATGTTGGTATCTCGGATGAACTAGTCTGAGTAGTGTGAGAGATGTGTTCACCTCTTGTGTTCACCTCTTGTGTTCAATGCCAATGTCCTTGCCAAAGATTTGCTCAGTGTGGTTTTATTAATTGTGCTTTTTGTGAATCGCTGTTTGAAGATAGCAATGGGAAAACAAAGTAACAAACATTTTTAGGTTTTTCAGAAAATCAAATCTAAAGTTTCAGAATACTCCTGTACTTTTTGTTTTTTGTGGAAATGTGCCCTCATTTAGGAAGTCTCAAACGCAGGATCAATTGTTTTGCTCTGTTTGATTGATTGTGTACACTGACGACCCCCCCCCCCCAACGCAAGCCTTTGAAAATTTTTAAAAAAGATTTTGGCTTATATAATTTTTGGGAACTTGTTGAATTCCTGATTTGAGCCACCCAGTTTCATATGTTCTAATGAATTGTCCCTTTTCATTTTGTGAATGAATTAACATAGATCTAATAAATTTCTGAAATTGTGAATTCAAGTGGTGCACGATAAAGTCCTCGATAGGCAGTGGTTGTGTATGATAGATCATGAAAGTAGTGCTCATGCTTCAACTATGCAATAGCTTTCAGTTTGTGACTTTAATCATTTTTCCAATGCTGTTTTCAGTTGCTTTACACAGCTATAACTCCATGTGTTTTGGACAGTATATGGTTTAGTGTCATTTTTTTCCTCTAGTAAAATTTTTTCGGCACTTGCGCAGCACAAATAGGCCAATCATTCATATGCCACGGATGAGAGGGGTTACTAGAGAGTAAAATACCACGAAAAGGAGGGGGAGAGATTAGGATGATAAATGTTTGATATGTCCAACTTTAATTTTGCCTCTGCTGTATCTTTATCTTATTGGTCTTATCTTTCTTCGCCCGGGCACTAAAGGGAAGTTTCTGTGTCACTGTTCTTTTCTTTCCTCAAAGTAAACCAGTATCATGTACTAAAACAAGTGATGTGGTTTCCCTTCCCATTATATTCTGCAAAGTTGTCATTGGTGCCCGTGGTGTAGTGGTTAGGTTGGGTTTTTTTTGCCATTGCATGCAGAAGGCTTGAGTTCCATTCCTGTGTGAGGATGATTATAATAATAGATTATCTCTGTCTGTTTGCCCCTATCTCTCATCCTTTCTTTCGTATGTCACTCTCTAGTAACATCTCTAATCTCTGGCACTTTTATGTACTTGTGTTTGATCTATTTGTGTTGCAAGTGCCTGAGTGACGGTACATGTATTTGTGAAAATGTGTTTCTTTACTCGTTAATGTTTTTGTAATGTACAAAATTCGCTATTAACATGTATATATATATTGTGATATACATGGATAAGAAAAATAATTCAGGACCTGAAAATGTGTTTGCTTTGTTCATCTATCAGAGTGTTTGCTGTGTGCGTCTGTGTGCATGTATGAGCTTATTTGCTTTATGTGTTCACATACATGTTTGTTTTGTGTGTCTGCGTGTGTGTGCTAGAATGTAGAAATGTGTGGGAACAGACTCTTGACTTGTCTTCCTGTGCCACGAATGTATACACCCTTAAGTATTATTGCATTTTTCTAACATTTTTTTGGGATGCTTTAAGTTTAAGGGCATGACTGGTAAGTCCTACTTCTGTTCTTTCCCTCTCTTGGTTCTGTCTGTCTTTCTTGATGTTTCCCTGTCTACTTTCTGCTACTGTGACAATGTAATTCTCTTTTCTCAAACAATTGGGGTTTTTTTTTTTTAGGGGGGGGGGGTTGCTAGTGTCAATGAAACTAGCATGTATCATTTTTTTCCATTGACTGCAAGATTTGGTTTTTGTTTTGATTATTTACATGCAGATATTTTCTTATGTGCCCATCCATCATGATTTTCTGAAATGTTAACAAAAGCCAATAAAACAAAATTCATGACATTTATAAATCGTTCAGTGTTTGCCCTTTCTATGATCAATGTTCCAGTAACTTTGGAATGAGTATAATGTTCTTTGTTGTTGCAGGCAGAAGGTGTGAATTCGGTTCCCACACAAAGAAAAGTGAATTGTCGTGTGTCTCCGCCTGTCTGCCCGGATGCTGTATCCCTTTTAGGCTGAAAATATATACTGTCACGCACAACTGAAGTGCACCGCGATACGGACGAGCAGCTAGACTAGGTTGGAGCTGGTGAT